ACCTGCTGGCCAGGGGCTTGCACCGCTGCTTGTGGTGGTGCTCCTCCTTGCCCCGCCGTTCCCCCTGGTTGCGCCACCACTGGATTCTGGGGCGGCGGCGGTGGCATCGCCACCGCAGCTGCTGCGCGAGCTTCTTGAGCACGACTAGAGCTGGCGTCTCCTCTGGGAATCGCCGTCGTCGCTCCTACACCTTGAAGGACAGGTGTAGAAGTGACCGGCATCTATGAGGGACCAGAGAAACTCGGAGGAGGGCCTTGTCCAATCGGCCTGGTCGTCGTCCAAGCGTCGTCGAACGTCGACTGCAAGTTGGTTCTGGGAATTCCATCCGCCATAGTTGAGCTTCAAACACAACCTTTCGAACAAAAGTCCCACAGACGGCGCCAAATGGTAACACAAAGCTTCCCAACCGGCTGGAACTTGAATAATTGCCTTCCTTCTCGCTGGTTGAACGTCGTGCACCTACAAAGAGCTCTCACACCGGAGGGGTTTTCAGGTGAAGAGCCTCCGAAGCTTAAGTCAGTGTATATTCAATCAATTCTCAACCGTAAGTAATGGAATGATCATGTTGAAGAAGAAAAGCTCACCCCCTTTATNNNNTGAGATACCTGACCTAGGGCTGCCCGGATTTGGTGAGCTGTCTGCCCTAACTGCCCGTCCGTACACACAATATGCGTGTGTCAGAGATAGCCATCGCCATTATCGCCTGCACCAATATTCTTTGGACGCGTGTCCTCCTACACATGGGGTAGGCTGTCAGAGGTGGTTATCGCTATCAACCAATGCATTCTCGACATGTGTTCCCCTGCACATGGGGTAAATATACTCCTGAAATTCGGTTATAGGCTCTCTCACGCGCCTGTGACTAGGCCGATCTATGAGGTGTTCGGTCCATAAAGTGGACCGATCGAGGTCGACTGCATTGCTCGACCGTCCATCTGTCGAAGGATAGGTTCGTCGACTAGTTAATTGCTCGATTTCCTCGACATCCCACAGTATAAACTCCTCGACTGGTCAGTAGACCGGTTTAACCTTGTGGGTATAATATCCTATATCATACACAATCAACCGTCTTTGGTCCTATTCTTACTTGTTTAGGTTCAGGTACTGAAACCTTAGCCAAACACCCCCACACTTTCAAGTACTTATAAGACGGCTTACGATTTTTCCACATTTCGTAAGGAGTCTCATCTTTCCCTTTATGTAATATTTTATTCAGGATATAATTTGCTGTTAAAACAGCTTCCTTCCCCCACCACATGTTTTGGGGTAGTCCCGAATTTATCAACATGTCATTCATCGTTTCTTTTAACGTACAGTTCTTGCGTTCAACAACACCGTTCGATTGTGGAGAATAAGGGGTCATCGTTTGATGAATTATGCCATATTTAGAACATATTTATTCAAAAGGAGCTACATACTCTCCACCCCTATCACTTCGGATTATTTTAATCTTTTTTCTGAGTTGATTTTCAACTTCGGTCTTATATATCTTAAATGCTTCCACATCCTCGTCTTTGTTTCTTAACAAATATAAGTAGCAAAACCTTGTGCAATCATCGATAAAAGTAATAAAGTATTTTTTACCCGTTCTTGTTTGCACACTTTTCATATCACATACATTGGTATGGATCAAGCCTAATGGTTCAGTATTTCTTTCCACCGAGTGAAAAGGCAACTTAGCAATTTTTGCTTCAACACAAATTTCACATTTTTTATGTCATTCTATTTTAGAATTAAGAATTAATTCTAAATTCATCAACCGTTTAATTGCATTTAGATTTACATGTCCTAATATAGTATGTCATAAATCATAGCACTCAACAGTATAAACAGAAATAGGCTTTCATATTCAACGGATGTATGGCTCACGACCATTACATTTATTTTGAAGAAACCCTTGTTGAGATAGCCACGACCAAGGAATGTTCCAAACTTACTAAGAACAAACTTCTTAGAATCAAATACCAGCCTAAATCCATGTTCAACAAGAAGAGATCCGGAGACCAAATTCTTGCGGATGTTTGGGACATGCAGAACATCCTAAGCTTCAACTCTTTTCCATAAGTTAGCTTCAGCACTACAGTGCCAAATCCAGCCACATTAGACGTGGAGGAGTTTCCCATGTGAAGTTTCCGACCATTAGAAGGAGTGTAGTTAGAAACCAACTTCTTGTCATAACACACATATCGAGTGGCACCAGTATCGATGTACCACTCCGTTGGGTTATCCACCATATTGGCTGCAAAAACCACAACTGACATATAAAAGTCGGTCAATTCATCCGGCACATGGCCGTGTTCAGCAAGAAGGGAACTCGATTGCGTCTTCTTTTACCCAACCTTTTTAGGCTTCCTGCAGTCCTTGGCCATGATGGCTAAAGCATAGGTTAACTAAGCTTGATCTTGGTACTTGCAGATGATGGACGGTAGACTTCCAAACCTTGGCGGGTTGCTTCCCTTTGTTAAGAGACTTCCTCTTGCTCGAGTTTCCTTGCTCAATACGAAGACGAACATCTAGGTCTTCAAGACTCATCCCCTTTCCCTTGTGTTTGAGATAGTTTTTGAAGTCCTTCCAGCCTAGCGGCATCTTCTCGATCACAGCCGCTACTCGGGATGACTTTGGCTCAAAGTCATCCCTTCAACATGGATATCGTGCAAGATCAGATGGAACTGTTGCACTTGTGACACGACAGTCTTTGTGTCAACCATCTTGAAGTCAAGAAATTTGCCGACAACGAATTTTTTCTCCCCGGCATCCTCAGTGTTGTACTTCTTCTCCAAGGCAGCCCAAAGCTCCTTAGCAGAACCAACATAGTTGTACACATTAAACAACTCGTTACTAAGTCCATTCAGGACATAGTTCCGGCAAAAGGTAATCACCTTGCCCCAAAGCTTCGTACGCTGCGCGTAGTTCAGCGTTGGTTTTATTTTCAGCAACAAGAGGGGGATCGTTCTTCATATATTTTGCCAAACCTAAGGTGGTTTGGTAGAAGTGCATCTTCTGCTGCCACATCTTGAAGTCAAGCCCGTTGAATTTTTCCAGTTTTTCAGCAGTCGGGACTTGAGCAGTAGGTACAGGATGATAATGCTGAACATAGTTGTTGATCGACTGTTGAGAGCTGGAACCTGCTCCGGTGTATGCCATCAGTTTAGTAGGAAATTATTCTTTGAGAATATTTTTTCTCTGAAGAATATAGTTCTAATAAACGAACATATTAAACTACTAGTAATTCTGTACTATAGTGGTACTAATGAAGAACCGAGACGTAGTAAAAGGGTAAAAGTGACTCAAACATTCGGACCTGATTTTATTACGTACATATTTGACGATGAACTGTGTTCCCTTAAGGAAGCTCTGTCCAACCCAGATGGACCACTTTGGGAAGAAGTTGTAAATAGCAAAATCGAGTCCATTATGCAAATCATACTTGGAATTTGGTTGGTCTCCCTAATGGTTGTAAACCTTTAGAATGCAAGTGGATCCTAAAGAGGAAATATAAATTTGATGGATCGATTGATAATTTTAAAGCA